TTTTAAAGATTTATTTTTGGCATTTTTATTTTGATAGGACAGTATAGCAGTGACAGGAAGCGAAGTAGGAGAGAGAGAGAGAGAGAGGGGGTGGGGTGGGATCGGGAAAGGTCCACGAGCCGGGACTCGAACTCGGGACGCCCGGAGCGCAACGGCCGGTGCACTGCCCACTAGGCTATTGTGTTTTAATACATTTATTATAACATTCACACATAGTGTTCAAATTAGGATCTGTAATATTTTCTAATGTTTTAAAAGAAGTCTCTTCTCAGCAAAGCTGCTTTCAATTGTACAGTAAAAAAAAATAAAAATACATGCCTGATTCAAGAAGGGGGTCTGATGGCCAAAAATTATTATTTTACTAACTTATTAATTTTAAGTTACATTGTGCTTTGTTGGTATAGTGTCTGCTAGAATGTAAAAAATGTTCAGTGTTAAATATTTTTAAATTGTTGTTTTGTAATAGATTTTTTTTCTTTGAAAAGCAAGACAAAACAGTAAAAAGCACATTTTGGCTTTTTAATTTATGCAATGGTGAAAAAAAATAAATGGCAAAATACATGGGGAAAAAACTCTGTGTTCGGTATTCGGCCGAGTGTTTAATTTTGTTCGATTTTGGTGCATCCCTATTATTCTATAGTTCTGAAAAAAACACACTTTTTTTTAAGTTTACTTTGGTTCACATTTGTAGTTCTAGGTAAGTTTTAATTCTTTTGTAAACCCTTATTTTTATAGATTTTTTTTTTTTGAGCTAGTTTTGTCTACATAGGCCACGCCCTTGGGTCATGAATATTAACCTTACATTATATGATGTTCACCCGCACTGATTATTCATTCATTTAGCAGATGCTTTTATCCAAAGCGACTTACAAATGAGGAGTACAACAAAGTAATTCATCCTAAGCAGGCAATAACACACAAAGTGCTACCAATAAAAAGTTTCAAACATCATCTAGAAATCTGATTTGCTAAAAGGCGGAAGTTGGTAAATGCTAACCATGGTGGGATTACCATTTACCACTTGTGCATTCGTTTAACCACAGCGACCGGATGACACAGGCTTCTGCTTGGAGTCATTTAAACTGCGACCTCTTTAAAATATAATGAACGTCTTTCAATAAGCAAGGGGTTTCTATGTCCCTGCGCTCACTACAGTTCAAAGGAAATGAATACTTTTACCAAGCAAAGATGCATTCAATTGATCAAAACGTACAGTAGTCATTTTTAATGTTACAAAAAAATAAATGCTGTTCTTTTGAACTTTCAATACATCAAAAGATACTGGGAAAAAAAGGTTTTCAATTAAATATTAAATATTAAAATTATTAGCCCAACTGCTTTCAACACTGATAATAAAAAATGTTTTCAAAAGCAAATCAAATCATCTTAGAAGTAAATCAGCATATTAGAATGATTTCTGAAGGATCATGTGACACTGAAGACTGGAGTAATGATGCTGAAAAATTAAGGATTGCACCACAGGAATAAATTACATTATTAAAATATATTCAAATAGAAAACACTTATTTTAATTAGTAATAATATTTCACAATATTACAGTTTTTACTGTATTTTTGATCAAATAAATGCAGCCTTGGTGAGCATTTCTTCCAAAATCATTAAAAAAAAACTCAAACCGACCCCAAAATTTGTGCTTCCGCCCATGTCAGCGCGGAATTAGAAACTGTTTTGTGGGTTTTGCTGGCTCAATAAAGACAAATAAAAAAATAATCAACAGAAGTGCAGCGAAGACAACTTTGACTGATGTGGGGTGTGACTGCATCTTTGTAGGTCACACACTAGAAAGTCGTCTTCAGCTTGGGAAAATATTAATAACTCTCCTCCATGGATCTATTCTCAATGCTAACCTACATTCAGTGCAAAGTTCCTAAATTTCAAACGGAAGCTGATGAATAATTGGTCTGTGTCCTCTACCTGAAAATGATGCTCTGAAGGTCGAACGGGTATTCAATAATCCCAGTAGTCGGGATTCGAACCCTCAGAACATCCTGCTGGGTGGGAAGGTAGGAGGGCACGGCGATACGATCCAGATCAGATAGATAGCTACAGAAAGAGATGAAAACATCATTAACCCCTTTATATCACAGGCTGGTGGTTTGGTAAAGAATGTTTCCAGCAGAATTCTCGAGAGTCAGACGTCGTCCCCCGTCAGCAGATCTCAGAGGATGCTCATTAGGCTGTCTTGTGAGACAATCTGAAAAAACACAATGGCTAAATAGGGAAGACAAATGTTCTGTGTGTCTGGTCAAACTAAGGTAGGCCTGTATTATTTTCAGAATGTACAATGCATACTCTCTATTATTTCTGAAATAGTATGCTGTATGTAACGATAAATCTCTTTATTGTCTTATTTGAATTGAATGTCGAATGAGAAGGAAAACACCATGAAAACTGCCAACAACTTATCCAAAATCAAAAGAAATGAGAAATTATATTCTGGATAAAGAATATTAAGATGTTTTTAGAACAATTCAGATTTGATTGCATTGTGACATTACTTTCATGCAATTAAACCCTGTATAATTAAAAATCTTCCTAGAATAAAGAAAATTATAAAAGAATAAAGGAATTAATGGTAGTAAATTTTTTTTACGTTACATTTTTGTTACATTTTTATTGCACAAACAAAACAACATAATTATTCCTCAATTGCATCTGCTGAATTTAACATGCAACATGCATACTGTACATCGCATACTATGTTTAATAGCATGCAAAGCAGTAATCTGGCTACAATGTTGTCACATGACCTCATTATGCTGCATTTTTAATTCAGCAAATGCTGTCAAACTCTTACAAATTAATACTTTAAATGAGATGTGTCCATATGCATCCCCGACCGTTGTTTTAGCAATTAAACTACCATATATCTGTTTTTTAACCAATTAAACTACAATATATTCCGTAGTCATCAACCTAATCAATAAGCAAATGCTTTTGTAGAACCTCCCATCATCTCATATGTAGTGCTGGTAAAGTCTGATTCACTTGAGTGAACTGGTTCATTCGGATGGTTCATGTAAACTTGTTCAAAAAATGATTCACTGATTCATTTCAATACCTTTGGATTTTGTAGCAAGATATTTAGTAAAATTCTGTAGCTTGTCACTGCTGTCGACACAGATTAATTATAAATTTATATAAATAGTCAATTTATTAAATAAATTATACATTTCTAATTTTATTAGTTGAATTTGTGTCAATCTGTTCAACTGACCGCATGCGGTCACCCAGATACTCCTACTGTACTGATGTGACCTGTATTACCCCAACAAACCAGCAGGGGGTGTGATTCACATGATGCCAATGATTCTTGAACCGACTCCAGGCTTCATACATCTGTGTGTATTAATGTGGCGAAATTCGCACTGCCTTTATATTATATTGGTCCAGTAAAAGAAATAGGACAAGATTGACTGCCGCCAAACTCTTCAATTAGATCATCAGAGAGACATGGACACAAACCCACTGACAAAAAGAAAACTTTGAAACAATAAAACACAGTCTTTGAGACATGAACTGATTTGTATGTGTTGCACAAGCTGAAAGGCGTGTTCTTTTTAAACAGAAATGGATTTTCCCCCCTTCATTTTCCAGATTTAATAGCATCTTGGGTATTGGTTAGCATGAAAGAAATAGTATATCCAAAAATGACAATTCGTTTACTTGCCCTCCTGTCGTTTCATATCTGTATGACTTTTCTTTCTTTCGTGGAACAACAGAAGAGAATTTTTGAAGAATTGTATTTGTCCTTTACAATGAATAGGAACACGAGCGTTCACGCTCTAAACAGGACACAACTGCATCATAAAATGCATGTGCTATATTGTAAATCTTCTGAAGTCACATGATAGCGTTGTGTGAGTTATTCACTGAAAATTGTTCTCATTCAGAGTTAATGAGAAATAGCGTTGTGCGATTGAGAATTTAAAAATGAGATTTTTTTCAAAGAATCAGTTGATTCACCTTGCAAATTCAGTCTGAATGACTCATTCATTAATCAGACTGATTCAAAGAGTCAAGAATTAAAGACTGAATTTGAGTGATTACAAGCTCAAATTTCAGTCTGTTCCCCACACACAGCTATCAGACGAGTTGAGTTGACTAGAGTACAAGATTCAAATCAAACTTTTGCAAGCCGGAAAGCCTCAGTTCTCATTCGTTGTAATTGCATGGGGGGAAAAAATCCCCTTTAGTGTTCCACAAAAAGAAATAAAAGTCATACGGGTTTGGAATGACGCGAGGATGAGTAAACAATGAAAAAAAATTCCAGAAATGTTTTACAATGAAATAACATTCAACATGAATCTTTCACAATATCACCAGGAACACATATTAGGAAAGTAAATGGGGTCATTTTTTATTTCATGTAGATTGTAAGCATGCACAACAGTGCGAATATATATATATATATATATATAAAATTGTTAGAGAATTTGACTGTTTAAAAACACTATAAATAATCAAACTCTATTCAATAAAAAGATGATGACAGAATTTCTCACTATTTCGTGGAGTCTGACAGCTGGTACTCTCGGCGTCTGTCGTAGGCCTCTTGAATGCCTGGATCTGTCCACAGCATCTTAATGGCACTAATGTAGGGCTGGTCGAATGACGACACCTTCTCAATGTCCACCTCCTTCACCAGCATGGCGTTTGCCTGCAGCCCAGAGCAGATGAACAGTTTAAGACAGAAGCAATGGAGGAAACTATTGATAATATACAGCAGTGCAGATGTGCAATACTCGATCTAACCTATTTTAAACATGCTCTGATCCTTCTGTATTTATTACAGAGCTTCTCTTATGCGTGATGTCTCATTAATAGTGAGACCACATGGAATATTTGTACTTTTTTCATTTGCCACACCAAAGCAAAATTATGAATGGTGAAAACCAATTCATGGTTAAAATGATTGGTTAGAAGCAATGGCAACCAGTTACAGCAGCTAAAATGTAGACATAATTTTAATCTAAATCTTTTTAAAAATGTAGATGAGTTTGTTTCTTCATCAGAACAGATTTGAAGGAATGTAGCATTCCATCACTTGCTCACCAATGGATGCTCTGCAGTGAATGGGTGCCGCAGAATGAGAGTCCAAACAGCTGATAAAAACATCACAATGATCCACACCACTCCAGTCCATCAGGCCATCACTTCACAATCTTGTGAAGAAAAAAGTTGCGTGTTTGTAAGAAACAAGTTCATCAAGACGTTTTTAACTTCGGACTGTTGCTTCCAGCTAAAAACTGGAGTCCATAATCCATAAAAACGCTTCCTCCAGTGAAAAAGTCCATCCCCTGTTGTCCTCTCACATCAAAATCCACCCACATTTTTGTTTAGCTTATAAATTAATCTTGATCTGTGCATATTTCTCTCCTGATTCAGATGAGACAACCTTTTCCACTGAAGAAAGCAATATTATGGATAGAGGAGGTATTTTAGCCAGAAGCAACGATTTGAAGTTAAAAACGTCTTAATTATGGATGTATTTCTTACAAACACGCAGCTTTTCGCTTCACAAGTCATTTACTGATGGACTGGAGTGGTGTGGATTATTGTGATGTTTTTATCAGCTGTTTGGACACTCATTCTGACGGCACCCATTCACTGCAGAGCATCCATTGGTGAGCAAGTGATGGAATGCTAAATTTTTTGAAATTACATGTCAGGCTTCAACTTCCTTTATGATTCCTTTTGATTTAGGTGTGAAACATGTTTTCACATGAAATTCACATGAAATTCACCATGTCTAACTTAAAATACTCAACATGAATCATTCTCACCTTGTTCTGCTCGTACTTAAAGCCGATTTTCAGGTTTTCAGTGGCGCGGATCATGGACTGCATGGAGGTGAAGATGTTCTGGTACACCAGTTTGGTGAATCCGCGTTTGTCCTCGTCTGTGTATCCGGTGCCATGGATGATACGCATCTGTTTGATGAACGTACTCTTGCCGCTCTCACCCGTACCTAGAGCAGAGGGAAGGGTCAGAGGTCAGGTTTATGTTCAAACTCTTGATCTACGATCAAGACCATCGGTACAGCATCCTTCATTCATGATCATCTGTTCACATGTGTGGTTTGGTCACAGTGTGGGAGCAAATCAGGACACTTGGAAATGATTTAATTAAACAACAACAAAAACTCTAAATCATTAAATTGAGGGAAAAGAGCCACTTCTAATTAAGAGGGCCTTTCGCACAGCTTTAGTTCCAGAACTAAATGTACAGTACTAAAGTACTGGGACGATTTTGCGGGAACTATTTCCCAGTACCATTTAAAGGGTTGCATTTGCACCGACAGTGTGTACTAAGAAGTGACATAAGCTGGTCGACAGCGTCGTTATTTGTGCGCGGCGTTCAACAACAGAAACAAAGAACAACATTAACAACAGGAGGATGGAGGACGCTGTGATCGGAGCTGTGTTTTTGTTGTGTCTCGCGGGTTTCACAATAATGGACATGGAAAGTCGACGTATACGTAAAGCGATTGAAAGAACGGAAAGGAGGACTAAGAATCTCCAACGACAACTGGCAGTGCTACATTTGCTACAAGTGCCTGCACTTCAGCGTCCGTCCATCTATCGCTGTTCTCCATACTTGCGAAATAAGTTGACACAATGTTTACAGTATGTTTACACAGCGTTTTAAATCATGGCGGGTGAGGGCGTTTTCGTACGCGTTTGGCCAATCAATGTCTACTTGCGTCGCGATTAGTACCAGTTGTGCTGGTTAGACCCTGCTCCGGAGTAGGAGCTAATTTGGTTCTCGAAAAAGGCAGTCCGGTACTAAAATCGCACCCAGTTCCGGCGGTGCGAAAACGCCAAAAAGTGGGTAGTTCCACAATTAATTCTGGTACTATGAAAAGGTTCCCGCGGTGCGAAAGGCCCTAATGAGAGCAAATACGTGCCTGTGCCATGTTAGCTGATGATCCACTTTCAGACAGAAAAACGGCATGGCTCACTTCAGTGTAAGTTTATGGGATTTATTTCACTTGTTTAATTTGTGACCAGCACACTTCTTGGTTTGTTTTATGCTCTCTTTGGTTAAATCAGCATTTCCCAAATGGGTGTCTGCGAACCCTTGGGGGTTCGTACAGGAACTGGATGGGGCAACACAATAAATCAAAATGAAACGGAAATCACAATATAATTAAGTGTCTCAATTCACAGTAAATGCTTCATCTTTGTATGCAATATGAGTTTAACATGCATTTTGGGAATGCAATGTGAACTAGATTCACTTTATTTACACATTTCCATAATCTCCAACATTTCTGTGGACAGAAATGTACTGCATTTTACCAACATTCAGCCAAAATAAAAGCATGAAGCTTTGAATGACTGAAAATGAAGAATTTAAGACATAAATATTGGTAAATTGTAGTGTAAATTAATTGTTTATAATTATCAAATTTATTTTATTATTTTACAGTTCAACTGTAATTTACAACAGTAATATATTTGTGTCTTCATTTTAAGTTAAACCTGATAATAATAAAGAGAGTTTATTGGTTGAGAGTTGGTGTCAGCAGCAGCAATATGTGTTTTCATTAGATTTTAAGAATCAACAAAATAACTGCAATATAATTTTTTTCATGTGCAGCAAGCAGCACTATAGACGGTTTCAACGGCAACAACATAAACAAACGTTACTGCGCATGCATGCTTTTGTGGCCCTAACTTAATTTCCGGTAGACTTCCAAATAGAATCAATGACAACAGCTAAGTAGTCCCTTTAGAGTAGATTATTTTTGATAACAAGCAAAATATGTTTGCTGCGTAAATCAGATGGACTTACTGAAAATGCAAATTCATTCTCTGCCAGCAGGAGGTGCTTTAAAGCGGGAGAAACAGAGGTTTCCCCGATAACGGCTGTACACAAATCAGCACTGAGCTCACAAACCCTGCACAAACGCTTTATCAGGCATATAACATGCAAGATTAAATGAAAATGACATCGAAAATTTTCTAAGGATAGTCTTCTTTCAGAAGTACAGTGATATAAAAACACCCGCGCCTCGTTTAGATTTTTAAACGTGCAGTAGGCCTACGTGCTCATGTTTATTCAACGAAGCCTTTTGGAAAATCTGTAATTTTTGATATTGTGGCGAGCGCCACAAATAAATAAATGTATGGGAAACACATCCCACAGCCCAACCACCTGAGCCCAACTTCAGTCTACTCATCACCTTAACTTTAACTGCGTTTGTAGCCGGCGCCATAGCCAGACTGATAAACAAACACAGACCGGAAGTTAACTTCGGGCCAGGCGCGTGCGCCCGATGAAACCGTCTATATAAATCATTTTCAAATAAAAACAATCAACATTTACACACACAAAAAAAAAGATTAAATATTTAAAGGAACATTCCACTATTTTTGAAAATAGGCTCATTTTCCAACTCCCCTAGAGTTAAACAGTTGAGTTTTACCATTTTCGAATCCATTCAGCCGATCTCCGGGTCTGGCGGTAGCACTTTTAGCTGTAGCTTAGCATAGATCATTGAATCTGATTAGACCGTTAGCATCTCGCTCAAAAATGACCAAAGAGTTTAGATATTTTTCCTATTTAAAACTTGACTCCTCTGTAGTTACATCAGGTACTAAGATTGACGGAAAATTAAAAGTTGCGATTTTCTAGGCCGATATGGCTAGGAACTATACTCTCATTCCTGCGTAATAATCAAGGAACTTTGCTGTCGTACCATGGGTGCAGCAGGCGCAATGATATTACACAGCACCTGAAAATAGTCCCCAGCACGCTCCCTATGCAAGCAGGTGGTCACGTTGGTTATGTTGACGGAAGTTAGCCTATTTTCAGGCACTGCGTAATATCATCAGTCAACATGAAATGACGTTTACATTTTAATTCTGCAACATTTCCAAACGCAAAAGGTTATTCAATGAGAAAAGAGGCAGGAAGTCCTTTAAAACAGCATGACTCACTTAAAAAAGCACAATAAACAAAACATGTATGAAAAAAGTAGACAATTTTAGTCAATTTTAATTTCAAGTTGACTGTTCCTATCTACACTCTTAAAAATAAAGGTTATTTTCTGGCATCTATGGTTCCATAAGGTACCTTCAATGTCCAAACAAGTTGTTTAGATTTTTAAAATGTTTTTCACACTAAGAAAAAAAATGGTAAGAACTGTTCTCTGAAAGGTTCTTTGTGGAACCAAAAATGGCTTTTCTGTGGTATCGCTGTGAGTGTAAAGCGGCTTCTCTCAAACTGTAGCCACAGTAGAAGGAGGTGAAACCCTTTGCGTAGGTTTTGGTGGAAAAAACACAGACATTTTCTAAAGAGCAACACCTCGGACAATGGAAACACAAACCTATCGAGAGACACCGACAATATCAAATGATGCCGTTTTTTTTTTTTTTTCAAACTACAAACCTTTCAAACAAAACATCCCCTCTCACTTCCTCTGTTTTACACACAATTAAAAGCTCTTTCTCCGTCCCTCTCTCCTGTTACATAACACTCCTGTTTTGCTTCTCGGTTCAGCTGAGTGAGGATTTCAAAGGAAGGCTGCTTTTTTTCAGAATGAGAGCAGTCCTTCATCCCCTCTGTGACTGCAGGAAGTGAACCGATCAGCGAGGGGGCACGAGCCTATCTGTACAAATAAAGCCAAATCAAAAAGCCTACTCAGTTTTTGAAAAATGTCGAGGCTCTGAGGAATGTAAATGTGGTGCAGCAGTTAAAGCTGCTTTGAGCAATATCAATGCTACTTGCAGCACAAAATCTACTAGATTTTTCTGCCACCTTTATTGTCCACCAGGTAATGACAAGCACCACTACCGAAAGGTTTTCCAAACATTTTCCCTGTTTGCAACTTGAGTTTTTGCAATATTTTGCAACCCCAACTTCCAAACTACCAAACTTCCTATATGAAATAAGCAACAGCTAGCATTTGTCCACACCCATTAGCTTTTTACATTGCACAAATGTTATATTTTGTTTCTTAAAAGACATTGCTGGTCATGTGCAAAGTGGGTTTTAATATTCTTTTAAACTTAAAAAATATTAAATATAGAAAAAATAATTTAATTATATTATTTTAATATAAATAATTAAATTGTTTTATTTTAATTAACTGTTGCTATTAAATGGCACAATGGCAATTATACATACACTAATTGTCTAAAATTTTAAATATTTTTGTCTAACATTTAAAACTTTAATTCTTACCATTTTAAGAAGTACAGAATTATAGAAAAATCATTGTTTCATGACACAAACAGATCTGTGCATTAGGCTTTTGCAGTGTAAACGCAGACAAATGACAATTCTATAATTGCATATTTAAAACACTTAAATAGGTCATTACAATACAGAAAAGGTTGTTTGATAAAAAAAGAAAACATTATAGAGCAGTTACTGCCCTTACAAAAATTAATCTGCATTTCACAATCATACAGGTCAAATTCAACTGTCTCTCTGCAGATATCAAGTACCAATTACAAAACTATAGAAATAAGGCTTATTGATCTTTTAGGAGAAGCAAAATTAATGTTATTTTTCTCTTTTCTCTCAGTGGATTCATGCTAATGGAGATCACCATTAAACACGCTGACTGTGTAGCAGGTCCAAAATGGAAACACATTAAGGCCATGTCCACACGTACACGGGTATTTTTATAAACAGAGTTTTTCCTTCTTCCGTTTTAAAAAAAATCTCCTTCCACATGAAAACGCAAACGCATGCTATGAAGCACTGTCAAGAGCATGCCAAACCAACAGGTGGCGATATATTCTCAACCGTAAAGCCATGTTGGCCAATCAGAAGCCAATTTTTGTTGGCCAATTTTTATTTTTAAAAATAACCGCATTCGTGTGGACAGGGCCTAAGGCCTAAGGCCCTGTCCACACGAACGTGGTTATTTTTAAAACCGCAGCTTTTTCTACGCGGTTTGCAACACCCAAGGTTTAACCAAGAGAGAAGATAAAAGTGTACATTGCTGTTCCA